CGCGCTGCAGACGCTCTGCGCCGACCCGAAGAACCACGTCATGATCCTCTCCGGGCTCGGGAAGGAGAAGGCGGCCGATTCCTCGGCCCCGGGGCGCGAGGGGCGTGTCCTTGCCGTGAGCTGCAGCCGCCCCGTCGCCTCAGGTGCTCGCCGCGTTTGGGTCCGTCCCCAACCTCTCGCTCGCCGTCGAGCACGGCTTCACGTACCGCGTGCAGGGCGGGCAGTGGCAGCAGCTTGTGCACGGGGTCGACACCTCCTGGCGCGCGGCCGCTGCTCAGAGCCGCACCCGCACCCGCGCCGCCCCTCACGCGCCCGCGGCACGCTTCGCGCAGGCGCTCCGTCGCCGCGTCGGTCATGCAGCGCTACTGCACGGTGACGCACGGCGCGTACGTCCTCTCGAAGGGCTCGTCGATGGCGTGGAACTTTGCGGACTCGGACCCCGAGTTTGGGGTGATGCAGGCCAAGGAGGTGCAGTTCGCGCTGCAGCATGTCCTCTCCGCCTTCCCGGTCGTTGTCCGGACCGGCAAGGGGTACGTCGAGGCTTGCCTGAAGGACGTCAACAAGGGCGTGATGGCGGAGCGCTTCGTCGACCTCTGCCAGGGCGGCGGCGCGCGGCCGCTCGACTTTGTGCTCTGCATCGGCGACGACTCGACCGACGAGCTCATGTTCGGCCACCTGCACCAAAAGCTGGGCAAGCATGCGCGCCAGCTGCTCACCTCCACCGTCGGGCGCAAGCCGTCGGAGGCGAACTCGTACCTCAACGACCACGGCGAGGTGCTCGAGCTGCTCGAGCTCCTCTGCACGCACGGCAACCACCCGCCGGGCTCGCAACCGGCGGCCGCCAGCAGTATGAGGCGGATGGCCGCGCCGGTGGCCAGCGGCGGCATGAGCGCATCGTACCAGAATCTCGCCGCCCTCGGCTGACCGCGCCGCCGCGCTGTAGCAGACGCGGGTCTTTGGAGAGCTGGAACTCTGTTGGACTGGGGCATGTGGGGCCTAAATCTACTGCATGGGAGGGTCTATTGAGGTTGTGACGCGGGGGACCCCTAGCAGCAGACGAGAGAGATCTGCGCACGTGTCGAGGCGGCGCGCTTGTGATGTGGTTCTCAAGCAGGTACGGCTTTAAGACGCTACTGACGTAAGACGTAAGAGACGTCGTGACATATGTCCACATATTCCGGCCCCTTTATTTTGAGGGGTCCATTCGTGTTAATCTGAGAACAACACATTTTCCAGGAAATTCCACACCTCTGTGTCCATTATCCTTCTACGCTACACACTCTCTAGAGCCTCTACGCTCTAGTAGACGCAAGACGGACGCGGGACGGGGAGCCGTGTTACGACTTACGTCCTCGCTCGTGTTATATTGTGCGCTGTACCCTGCACGACCCCTCTCTATCTAGCTCTCTATCAGACTCTCTTTTGTGTACTCTTTATACGTGAGCTTCTCTAGAGCCGTACGCGGCTCAACCTGAACCTCAACTGACTACGCACGATACTCTACACGGCTATCCCTCTCAATAGACTCTCACCTCTCTGAGCTCTCACACGTGAGCGCTAGCTAGAGAGGTGGCCCTCGGCTCTACTGTCGACGCATCATTGACACTTTCAATAGTAGGGACGAGGTCCGGCCTCCTGGGACTGACCATCGTCGGATGCGACTTGTTCCTGTCGCCTGCGGCGTTTTCGTCGTCGCAGAAAGGCTAGCAGCACAATGCAGCAGCATAGAAGAGAGAGCCCGAGGAGAGAGATCACCACGATCACCCAGATATCCATTTCCGAGCTGCCACTGCCGCCAGGCTCTTTTGGCGGCGGAAGAGACAGGGGCGGTGCTGGTGGCGTCCATAGAGACGGCTGCGCAGGTGGGGCTGCAGGGATCGGTGCAGCCGGCAGCGCGGGGACGGGTGGCGGCACGCCCGCACGCGCTGCCCGAGCGTGGGGTTCGAGGATGATGACCGCAGTCGTAGGCGAGTCAAAGACCTTTGTGTATCGAGCATCCCTGTCGATAATCATGTTGACTCCCTTTGCGAGCGGAATGAGCCGCGAGCAATCGTCCCTGGAGGTTGACGGCGCGTTGGCATGAGGGAGGCTTTCGTTGTAGAATGAGTTCGATGAGAAGGCGAAGCCTGTGGCCGAGACGTGTATGCTGAAGTATTGCGAAATGGTCGGCAGGGATGCGTCTTGCATTGCCACACTGCCGCCGCCGTAGAGCCAGTCCGTGTCAAAGCATCTTGTAGGAGCGGATGATTCGTGAGCGAGGGGCTGCGCATTGCACGTAGCCCGGACGTGGGCAAAAAACCACGGAATCGACAGCCAGGGCTCCTCTGCGCCTCGCAGGTGAAGGCACTCACGTCCCATCAGATCCAAGCAGGGCGTAACTTCTAACGTCATGCTGGCTGCGATGCACTCTCCAACCTGTAGCTCAAATTTTGGGACCTCGGCCACAGTCACATTCCAGAGTGCGACTGAATCATGAATGCAGTAGCACTCCAGAACGCGTGGCAGGCAGCTCACGCAGGACCTGTAGTCAGGGCAACGGCCATCGGAGTAGGAATGGCTCGTTGTCACTTCGTGACGATCGCTCCCCTCAGAAAACGCCACAAAATTGTGGTTGGTCACCAGACGATGGACACACGCGGCTGACACAGCCTCCGGATGGAAGCTATTCTTGTCGAGAAAAAATAGGCCGAGTTGACCGGCATACCAGCGGCACCAGACCACCGTTGGGGTGATTGTCCCGGCTGGGCACCTCTGGCCTGGAGAGATGCTGACGGGGGATGAGGGCAGAATGGCTCGCGACACACACTGACACGAGACGTCACCAACCAGCAAACTTGGGATCGGCCGGTCCCAAATAACGGCGGGCGCGAGCGAGCGCGTTACCCGGGTACAAAAGATCTCGGCGCGGACCAACAGAGAAAATTCCCATTTTCGCCTTGCACGTTAGGTTTCACTCACGCATGACCAAACTGCAAACACTCCCTAAGTTTTCTTTGTCTCTCTCTCGCTCATTCGTGCATAAAATCTAGCTATCTAGGTTGGTTCGTTCGGTCTTATTGCTGCGCACCCCGAGTGGACTAGAGATAGAAGCAGCCAACGATTAATGAAGTTGCTAGATATAGAGGGAGTGGCATGACTGACGGAGGACCCACCCAGCTCATCGATCGAGTAAGTAAAGGAAGGCCGAGCGATGGATGGTTCCCTGCGAACGCGCACCCCCCAGGGCTAGGGCTCTCTAGCCCGCAACCCGCCGCTGGGTGCGCTTCTTAGCTCCCCGGCCCTGGATGTGAGGTTAAGTGTTTTGAGGTTAATGACGCTGCACTCCAAGTGCTCCAAGATGGTTGGCTGCATGCATGCACTTGGAGCACTTGTGGATGGAGTGCGTGCGGTTGTTATCAACCCCCAACACGTGTCGACAACACGTGCGTCCGGTCTCTATCTGTAGGGATTCGCTGCCGTGGTCTGCCGCCGTGCCGCCGTTCCTTACCGTGCCGCTCCTTCCATCCGCGCCGCGCCGCCCTTGCCATTTATTCGCCGTCCCTCCTGCCGTGCGTTACCGCCGTGCCGCCGTACCGCCGCTCCCACAGTGCCGCGCCGCCTCCCACACGCACACACCTTACCTCCTGCTCGACCGAGTTTGCGATGAGAAGTGACCCGAGCCGCCGGGTGCCCCGCCGCGAGGTGGGGTGCTAGTATGAGCCCGACCCAGGTCGTAGTGTTCTTGCTCCCAGCGCTTGCGCTTCGGCGGTTAGTGGTGCACTAACCTCCGAGAAACCCATCGGGTCGCTCCTCATCGCAAACCCTATCAGCAGTCCTCCTCCGGGAATGTACGTAAGAGCTACATACACTGACTAACTATCTTCACAGTCGCACCGGCATTGTTTCCGCTATTTTGATCGTACGTTAGACAAAAAGAAAGAAAACAGACAACCCAAGCGCCAAGGGAGGGATGGGAGGACGGCACGCCGCCACCACACAGGGATTTGAAGGAGAGAGAGGAGTGTGGTGCTCGCCGTCGCTGGGATTGTTTTGACCGCGCAAGATATAAAGGGTGGCTAAGGGCTCTGCCCGCAAGGCGCCCACGTCGCAGACGCGGTACCATTGACAAATCTGCCCCCACACGAACAAATAGCAAAATCCGAATACCGTGCAGAAACCATGTGATGTGGGCCGTGCAAGCCTTCAGCTGGTGCCAAGACATCGCTCGTTTTACGGGAGCACTGCAGCAACCACAGCCGGGGGCTATTGCAACACATATGGAGAGCCTCCTGCGTGACCTCGGGGACGCGCGCGACGCCTGTAACAACCTGCCTTTTGACGATGCGCTGCGCGACAAGATAGCTACCGAACTGGATCGCATCGAGGCTGCTCCGCGTCTCGAGCGCATGTTGGTGACGAAGCCGCCGGTCAAGAGGTGGGCGGAATTGGTCAGCCGGCAGAAGGATCCGTCCATCAAGACGCGTCGTCAGGCTGCGCTCACCGCCATGCTGCGCGTCGTCGACCGCCTCCCCGGCTCCCTGCTCGGGGGCCAAGCCAAGATGCTGCGTACAAGGCGGCAACGTCTGCCCACTGTCCGCGCAGGTGTGCGGCGCTCGTCGAGATTGACGGCAGGGCGTTGGGCTCGGCAGGGCGATGTTGGAGGGTGCGCGTGCGGGTGAGGCGTCCGCGGGTGAGGCGTCCGGCCGCTAGTGTGCGCACCCTCGAGCCGTCACGACCCCGACCGTCAGCTTCTCTGCGTGAATGTGTATGGCTAGCGTGCTTCCACTGCGCGCCCGCGCCTGCGGCGCCGCCGCGGCTCCCCACCCTTTTGCGCAGCAACACCTTAAACTTTTCGGGCCCTCCAAATTCGGGTCGGAGCGTAGCGGAGTGGGCCCCGAGTTTGAAAAGGGCGACGGACGCTTGCGTCCTAGCCTCCAACAACGCCTCCCCGGCGCAGAGGGGCCCCCGGAGGGATGCACAACCGACCCACGCCACGCCGCTTGCGGCGGTCCTCTTCCCAGCTCCGCTGCGGGCTTATGCGTTATTTTAAGTTGGCTTTCCGCTAAACAGAACTTGGCGTCACGCAACTCTCGCTCGGCGTCAATTAACGACCCCGTGCATGCGCGGCGAAGCACCGACTCTCACATGGACCACAACACGCGTCAGCGAGGGCGGGAAAAGCCAAGCGAACGCGACTGTCCTCATTGCTGTCCCGGCGAGCTGCCTGAACGGCTCTGCGGGAGCAGTGACCGAGTCTCTGGGTGCGGTGTGCGCAAGGTATCGTTCCCAGGTGAGCGTGTACATCAACTGCTTCTCTGGCGGCCCCGAGGACGAGTCTGCCGTGAAGAATTGCGTCGCACTTCGCCCATGCCGCCGTGTGGCCACGAGCCGCTGGCCGGGCATGAAGGGACTGTTCTGGAAGCAGGCGCTGAGCGCGGGGGCATGGAGGGAAGACTTTCTCTGGCTGATGGATGCCGACGTAGACGCCGCCACGCTGCGGCTCGACCGCGCGCTCGAGGCTATGCGTCGTGCAGAGGTGCAGTCATTGGAGTTCCGTCTCCTTCACGCATGACACATGGCCCACTGAATATTTGAGCGTCAGCCCCGCCCGGAAGCTGACCACCGGCTCGCGTTTATGCGATCCGTCTGCTACAACCGTGCAGGTCTCTCTCGCACAGCCTCGTGTCAACGCAGAAGGGGAAGCACGCACCTCGGATTGGTTTGCAATGCGCGCAAGCACGCCGCTCCCTCCTGGCTGTGGCGCGTTGTCTTCGCAGGTGGTGGAGATGATGACACCCCTGTTTCGCCGCGATGCGTGGCATGCCGTGCACCACATTGTCCTCTCGCGGCAGCCCGACGCGCTCCTCGCGCGGACAGCGCGCGGGATCGAGAATGTCTGGCGCGAACGGGTAGAGGATGTTCAGAGGTAGCCATGAGTGGACCGGTGGACGTTTGTACAGCGCCAAGCTAGACCGACGCCCTCCCTCGAGCCCGAGTCCTTGAATCAACCCCAGGTGCCGCCTCCTGGCGGAACGGCTGCCGTCCTCACCGGCTTGCGGGATTCTCAACGAGACGGTGCGCCACCTCGACACACACTTGATCGAGAGCCAACTGCTGCGCTCCCCGCCGCCCAACGTCAGCAGCACCGCGTGGCGGAAGCGCCGGCGGAGCCGGCGCAACGGTCTCGACGGCGACCTTCGTGGTGGCTCCATCTTTCGCTGGTACGCGCGCCAATTTCCGCGGTGGTTCACCTCCCAGCGGAATGCGACCGACATGGCAATCAGAGGAGGGTGCTTACCTGGCAATGAGCCTGCCTCCTAACAGCGCCTTATGCGGCGATCCGGCTCCTGAGGTGCTCTAGACAAGCATTCATAGAGTCGCCTTCGAAAAATGCAGAAGAATGCAGAGAGTCCTCTTCGTCGGGAATGTACTTTCACTTTTTACGCGGATCAAATCAGCGGAGGGTCTCCTTGATTGTGGGCTATTCCGGCCCCTGTGCACTATACGACGGGGTTTGCGTGCAACCCGCGGCGGCTCGCCGATGGAGAAGTTCGCCGTCTTCAGGCCATCCGAGGGTTCCACCTCCGCCGCCCCGCCGCTCGGTGTGCTGGGCAAAGGTTGCCTGCTGGACACCCTCGCTCTCGGAATGCACAACCGGACGTGCCGCTCAATCATGGGCCTCTTGGTAGGCAACAGCAAGACCAACAACAGGCCCTCGTCCCGGCACTACTTTGGCTTCAACTTGAACTTCAACGACGTGCCCCTCGGGAACGCCAACGCGCTCCACAGCCACAAAGGACTCGAGTGGTTCATGGCGTACAGCGGCGACTTTGAGATTCGCGCCGGGAATCAGGGTAGGTCAAAGGTTCACCTTTCGAAGGACGACTTCATCCTGGTCCCGCCCGACCTCAACCGATCGTTTGTATGCATCGCGAGCAAGGACCAGATCACACCTGCGTCGAGATGAACTCGAACGATTGTGCCATGATTCTGTGTGGCACTATCGGAGCACCGTGGGTGCAGTGGGCAACCGATGTTGTTGACGCTGCTCGTGAGAAGGGCGTTCTGTGCACCGACATGGGCATCTTGTACGACGCCGGCACGGCTCCTCCCGAGCAGGAGGAGCGGGAGGTGCACGATGTGTCGCAAGCGCAGCTCGAGTCGTTTGTGCATCGAGCTGCAGACAAGCCCTGCGTCAGCTCGCCTCAAGGTGACGGAGACTTGTGCTTCGAGCACGTCGTGATTCGCGCGGTGGCGGGCGAGGGCATCGGCGGCTGGTCGCCGGGCCTGGGCCGAGATTGCGTCGTCTTGCATTTGGAGGGGCCTCGCCTACGTGTCCAGGGTGGCAGCATGCTGACCCCCACGACGCTGCACGCCAGGGAGGTGCTAATCGCCGACAAGAAAGAGGGGGCTTGGAGCCTCTCGTTGGCGGGCGATGATGCCGGCGACGACACTGGACCTGCTCGACTCTTTGTAATCTCATCGTCGATGAGCACTCCCTCCGATCTGACGAGCGCGTGGCTTCCGCGCAGCAGCCCCGGGGCCTGAGGTATTCCGCTGGCACCGAGTCCGACAACGCCTACTCCCCACTCCGGTGAATGACGACGAGTCGGAAGTCCTAGAAACCCAACGGTTAAGTGTGAGGTTGTGTGTGTGTGTGTGTCGTGTTATATATATATATAGAGAGAAGAGAAGAAGAAGTGATACGAATTTGCTTGCTCGAGCTTGCGTGTTTTTTTGTTTGTGTGTGACGGTTTTCACAAGTGTTTGTTTCTCTTACGGTTGTTTGTTTCTTTTCCCTACTTTTGACCGCGCAAGACAAAAGGGTGGCTAAGGGCTCTGCCCGCAAGGCGCCGCGACGCGGTACCATTGACTAATCCCGGCATCACACCCACACGACCAAATAGCGAAAATCCGAATACCGTGCAAAACCCACGGAAATTGAGCAGAAGAACGATCGAGGGGTCCCGTACCATGCGGAATCGACCCTATCCAGTGCTCAAGTGCTCAAAGAAGAACGGTAACCTCACCTCAAGTGCCCAGCCTCTCCTTCCGCTGCCGCCGGCCTCGCAGTCCCGCCAGCCATCACGCTGCAGAGCCTGCGTGGACGCCACAGACACCAATTCTGCAGCCCACAGCCCTTGCAACCTTCCCTTCCCCACCCCCGCCTCCAGTGCCTCCAATCAAGTTGCACCTCTCTTCTTCAGCGAATGCAGCGGCAGCACCACGTCAGAGGCCGGGCCGACTGGCGGACCTGCATGCCCAGCCACGCCCCCCACTCCCCACCCGCTTGGATCGATCAGCTGACAGCTCCACCAGCTCCCACCACCGTGTGTCGTGTCATGAAGCATGAGAGATAGATTGAGTTTGAAAAAGGCGACGGACTCTTGCGTCCTAGCCTCCAACAACGCCCTTGGGTTGTCTGTTTTCTTTCTTTTCTTTTTCCAACAACGCCTCCCCGGCGCAGAGGGGCCCCCGGAGGAATGCTCAACCGCCCCACGCCAGCCAGCCTTGGCCTTCTTTCTTCTTTTTCGAAATGTTCCGAGAAAGCAGCATCGGTGACGTTTTCTATGACCCCAGCCCTCGTTGCTGCGCTCGGCCTCGCCCGACCGCCACCAGCCACGGCGCCTGACGGCCTATGCGTCGAATATTTCGCCATCGGATCCAACATGGCCTCCAGAGTTTTCGAGGGCCGACGCGGCATCAAGCCCTCCGCGAAACGCCCAGCGGTTGCCCTGGATCACGCGCTCACTTTCGACGTGCCTGGCGCCGGGTTTGCCGAGCCGGCTTTCGCTGCCATCTCATCACGCACAGGCTCCGAGTGCCACGGGGTCCTTTACACGATCTCCCCGCTGGACTGGCTGCGGCTGTGCGCCTCAGAAGCGGTGCCGGTTGCCTACGTGCCCGCCTTTCTCACAGTCGAGTGCTACGACGGCCGCCGCGTCGAGGCTGTCTCGCTGCAGGCTGCGCCTGGACTGCCGCGGCGGGGAGGCGGGACAGACGAGCCTCGACCGTCTGCGCGGTACCTCTCGCTGCTGCGCGACGGCGCCGCCGAGGCTGGGCTAGCGCCGGTGTGGCTCGAATACCTCGACAGGCTCGAGCCTGCGGTGGGATCAACGCCCGCCCCGCTCCCTGCCCCTCCGCCGAGGCGGAACTATGAGGAGCGTTATGGTGCGACGTTCGTGTGAGAGGCGGCGGGTTCTTGTCTATTGAGTATTGTTCGCGCCCTGGCGCGGCGCCTCGTCCTAGGCCTCGTCAGAGCGATGTATTTATCGACGTACCGTATACCCATTCACGCGCCACGATTGAAGTCATGAATTTGTAAGGCACTGAGCTCAACATGAAAAACGAGTCTCAGCGGTGCATGTGTTTCACGGTGTTCAATCTTCGCTGCCGTTCGACTCGGAGCCGTCGGCGTCGCCCGTGGCGTAGGCGTCGCGCAGAGCCAGTAGGTCCTCGGTGACCTCCGCGAGCTCGTCGGCGCCCCACTCGGCCGCGAGGCGATGCTCGGCGGCGCGGCGCTGCGCCGCCCACTCCTCCGCCACCCGCTGCACCAGCGGCCCAATCGCAGGGCTCGACTGGAGCGCGGCCGTCGCCGGGAGCGAGAAGACCTCTTCCCCCTCGCGGCGCGGCGCGAAGCGGCGCGGTGCGCGGTCGAGCGCGGGCGGCAGCAGCTCGCCAGCCGAGCCGAGATCGGGCGTGAAGAACTGCGGGAAGGGCAGCGGCAGCGAGAGCGGCGCGGTGCGCGTGAAGATCGACACGTTCATGCTCGAGCGGCAGGGCAGCAGGGGCGGGATGACGCTCACGGCGGCGAGGGGCTGCGGCGGGAAGCCGAGGCAGCTGACGCTCTGCGAGAAGGCGATCGCGCGGAGCGGCGGCAGCTGCCACGGCGCGAGCGGGCAGAGGAGAGCCGTGGGCGAGAAGACTCCGCCCGAAGGCAGTGACCACGCCCTCCGGCCAGTCGGCTCTACCTCGCCGAGGGTCGGGGGAGGGAGGGGCAGCCCGAGGACGGGAGACCCGAGGTGGAAGCGCGGCGCGACCTGCAGCCCTCCCAGCAGCCGCGTGAGGCCGCCCCGGCTCTCTCCGCGCGTGCGGAGCGGCAGGCTCGCGACGTCGAGCCACGCGGCGGGCAGGGCGGAGGTGGTGTAGCGGCACGGGCGGGCGGCGCTCGGAGAGGCGGGGCGGACGAGCGGCGGCCGCGGCGGGTCGGCCGCGGAGGCGTGCCCCACGAGAGGCACGTAGCAGCTGCGCAGCTCGCCGAAGGCGGTGAGGGCGAGGGCGTCGTTCAGCGCGGCGACGCAGGCCGTGTGCGGCTGCGGGTGCGGCTGCGGCGCGGGGCACGTGCCGAGGCCGAGGGCGAGGCAAGGCGCGGCGCTCATCTCGTCTCGGATCCGCGTGAGCAGGGCGGAGCCGAGGCCGCCGAAGGCGCCTGCGACGCGGAGGCGGGCCTGCGTGAGCCTCGAGCGCGGGCGGGCTGAGTTGCGGCACTCGAGGAGCGCCGTCGACGTCGGCGAGGAGGAGGAAGCCCTGCGGCTTGTCGCACTCCTCGAGGAAGCGGCGCGTCCGCTCGAGCAGGGCGGGCGAGTCGCCGTCGAGCGCCGCCTCCTCGCGCCTCATCAGCGACTCGCCCTCGGACCAGAGCTCGAGCTGCGAAAAGTTGTGGCTGTGCGGCCGCAGCGGCGCCACCGAGCGGGAGTGAAGCTGCGCCTGGAGGTAGTCGGACCAGTACGCGGCGGTCGCCTCGAAATCAAAGGCCGCCGCGCTCGGCGCGCTCCCTCCCTCCTCCACCTCGACCGCTGGTGTGGCCGTCGGTCGAGGGCTCCTCCGCCGCTCCATCTCGCCCTCCTCGCCCTCGTCGCCCTCGTCGCCCTCCTCGCCCTCCTCGCCCTCGTCCTCGTCAGCGCGGCCGGCCCCGGCGTAGAGGGTGCGCACAAAGGGCGACGGCTCCACCGCCTCCATCGTCACCGTCGTCACGCCGCCGCCCCATGCGAGCGGGTCGACCGGTGGCGGCTCGCCTCCCTGCCCGCCGCTACAGGAAGAGCCCGCCGTCGGCACGCGCCGGCCCTGCGCACCCAGCGAACCGAAGCCGTCGGATCGGTCGCACACCACCAGCCGCGGCGTGCGCGTGCTCTGCCGCTCGCCGCCGCCGGAGCGGTAGAGCACCGCCGGGTCGGCGGCGTCGGGGTCAGGCGAGCCGTCGGCGGCCATCTCTGGGTGCAGCGAGTCGTCCTGGAAGTTCCAAAAGTGCGCTCCCACCCACGAGGCCTGCGGACCGAGCTGGATGGTGACGATCTCGCGCGGCATCGCAGCCGGAGGCCCACACGACGAGGCCTAGTCGGGGCCTACGTGCCGCGCGGACGAAGTCGAAACAACAAAAATGCTACGGTGAGGGTTGAGCCCCCCCCTCGGCGAGAGACTGCGAAAAGAGATAGGAAGAGGCAGACTCCCTAGGGTGGGCGACGGCTAGCGCATCACACCCCTCTCCTTAAAATCCCTGTGTGGTGGCGGCGTGCCGTCCTCCCATCCGCATCCCTCCCTTGGGTTGTCTGTTTTCTTTCTTTCTTTCTGCCCCCCCTCGAGAGTGGGACGACCGCGAGGTGGCATGAAGGTTGCAGCGAGAAGCGGCGAGAGACTGCGAAGAGAGATAGGAAGAGGCAGATTCCCTAGGGTGGGCGACGGCTAGCGCATCACACACCTCTCCTTAATGCTTAAAATCCCTGTGTGGTGGCGGCGTGCCGTCCTCCCATCCGCATCCCTCCCTTGGGTTGTCTGTTTTCTTTCTTTCTTTCTGCCCCCCCTCGAGAGTGGGACGACCGCGAGGTGGCATGAAGGTTGCAGCGAGAAGCGGCGAGAGACTGCGAAGAGAGATAGGAAGAGGCAGATTCCCTAGGGTGGGCGACGGCTAGCGCATCACACACCTCTCCTTAATGCTTAAAATCCCTGTGTGGTGGCGGCGTGCCGTCCTCCCATCCCTCCCTTGGGTTGTCTGTTTTCTTTCTTTCTTTCTTCTGTGCCCCCCCTCAACCATCTGGTTGACGGTTGAGACCCCCCCTCAACCCTTTAGTTGGGGGTTGAGGCCTCCGGGGCCTATTCACAGGCTCGAGCGTGATCACAAGATAAACTGGAAGCCTGCCGCCAAAAAAATCGCTTCGCCTGCGGCGCGCTCTTGCGCTCCTCGGACCTCGAGCGCAATCCATAAGTAGGAGACGCTCACTGTCGCCATTCAGGCGCCTGATCTTTCAGCAAAGCGATGGCCTGCCTGGTACGAGTTCAGATGCGCGCCCGGCAGAAGACGCGTGTGATGCCGCATGCAGAGGAATGCGCACAGAGAACGGACGGCAAGAGAAGGCAAGGGAAGGAAGAGAAGCGGCTGGCGAAGCTCAGCTCACGGCGTAGTATTGCGTAAGCAACCGCGGTCACTCACCATCCACGGCAAGAGTCACGGTGAATGCTGCCGCATAAAGCAACAGAGTCGCGCTTGGCGCGATGGTCTTGTCGCGGTTCACGACTTGACGTTGCACACGGTCATAGACGCAGGATCTATTTGGCGAGTCTCAAGCAGCGAAAGTAGGCGCGAGAAATTAATGTCGATCCTGAGATCTCAATTTTGGCGCTAGTTTCGTTTTCTGGTACATCACGACGACTTGCTTGGGTCTCATGTAGCTCGACGGCTCTTCGACGGCTCTTTCTGGTTGGATCAGACAGTGCTATCAGTCAACAACACAATGCCGAGAGCAGGGCAGCCTTAGAGCAGGGCGGCCTTCGAGCAGGGTCAACTAAGCTCCTGCTGCATATCGAGCATGGAAGGCGGCCTTTGTGCTCAAACCTGTTCGAGTTGGCCTCCGGGAACAAGGGTGCGTGGCCGGCGCGGTCTGTTTCACGTGCAATGAGGGCAACGCCATCAAAATCGCGAACATGGGCCGACATGCCTCCGACATTTCTCAGGGCCCAAACGGAAGCTCTGGCCTCTGCAGACAGCCAGACCGCTCTGCGCGGTCGGACCGACTTTTTCAGACTTAACTATTCTGGATACTGAGGGTATGTGCCGCTGCTAGATCTCACTGAGTTGAGCTCGTATCTGCCTTTTGGTAAGCAGAGTTTTGAGTTCGGCAATGTCTGCGGTAAGCTGTTTCCGTGTACAGAGGGCCGCGTCCGGACGACCCATGACGTCGGCCGGGACCCCCCCGTGGCGGGGCCTTTCGATGGCTTGTCAGCGCTCCTCGTCTGGGCTTGGCATCACCTCCCATCCACGCACGTGTATTGTTGTGTCTCGTGGCCGGTGCGTTCGTGGGGCTCGATTGCCTTCCCCACTCTATGCGGTGTGGCCCATTTCCGTGCATCGCTTTCATCAGTGCGTTCCAATCTCTCGTCGTTATGCTCCATGTGTATGTGTACGTGTCTTTGTGCGCAGTTGGGTTTAGGCTCCTTTTTTTCGGCTCCTCCCCCTTTTCTTCTCCCTGGCCCCCTCCCTTCTCTCTGATCTCTCCCCTGCCCCCCCCTACTGTCGCGCTGTTCGGGTCCCTACTCGGGTCCCTACTACGCGCGTCTTGGCTCGAGGGTGGGGGTCGTGGCCACAGCGCGGCTAGCCGTAGCTTGGGCGCCCGCCGAAGCGTGACGGCGCGAACGAGCGGCGCCCGCCAAATTGCGGCGGCGATCGCGAGCGGGAGCGCGACCGCTGGTCGCGATCGCGCCGGCGTGAGTCCAGCTCCTGCTTCTTGCGCATGGCCGCCCGCAGGACGGCGCGACGGATGACGTTGCGGTGGCAGGCCCCCCCGTCCATAGGGCAGGTGCACCCGAGCGCTACGGTCCGGCCCTCCACGACCTTCGTGGCGATGTAGTTGATGGCCTCGAGAGTCCGTTCGGGCGCCCGCCGCTCGTCGTGCCAGTCGTGGTGGAGGATGAGGCCCTTTTCGAACGCTTGCTCGAGGGGCGAGCCTTCGGTTTGCCCGCCCCGCTCGATGTGCTGGATGTGAGCCTCGAGGTATTCGCACGACACGGCGCGGCCCTCCATGTTGTCGCGCGCCTCCCCGCTCCTCACGACCTCCCGCACCCGCACCGGGTTGCTGACCTCGACCCAGCCGTGGGACGCGTCCCGCGTGCAGAGGATCTGGTCGCTCTTGTCCAGCTCGGCCGCCTCGCGCGTCGGCGCGTTCGCGTCGCAGACGAGGACCCGCGACGACAGATCCGGATCGAGCGGGGGGCCGAACCCCGTGAAGCCCGCACCGGCGAACGCGCGCAGGTCCCCATGTCCGCGGGTCTCCTGCGGCGGCGGGTTCCCCCACTGCGGGTGGGCCTGCGGCGGCGGCTGCGGCGGCAGCGGCGTCCACGCCGCCGGCGGCGGCTGCATCGTCATCGACGGCATCGGCGGCATCGTCTGTGGCTGCCCCCACGGGTGCTGCTCCCACTGCTGCGGCTGCTGCATCCCCCGCGGCGGCGGCGGCGGCGGCTGCAGCAGTGGCATCTGCTGCTGCTGCGGCAGCGCCTGCCCCTGCTGCATCCACGCCCGCGGCGGCGGCAGCCTCTGCGCCTGCCCCTGCGTCCACGTCTGCTGCGGCAGCGGCGGCATCTGCGCCTGCGAGCGCCCGCCCCCTCCGCCCCCCAGCGACCGGCTTGACTTGCGGCCGCCGTTCTGGCGTAGGCAGCGCTCGCGATCGAAGGCGTGGTCGCATCGGAAGGTCTTGACGCCGCCCTCGTTGCAGCTGTGGCGGCGCGGGTTTGGTCCTTGTGAGTCTGGGGTTGGGGCACACTACCTCCTCGATCGCTCTCTCTATTGCGTGCCAGTGCATCTTGGCGCCGCCGTAGCGCGGCATCGGGTCCGCATAGATCGGGATGCTGCGCGAGACCCGCATTTTCCCGTCGGGTCCGAAGCCCTCGGGGATGGTGACCTCCGCCATCCATCGCGCTCGCTCGACTCCCGCCTTGATGGTCAGGGCGACCATCCGGACAGTCGAGCCTGGCTTGGCGGTGATCGAGATGCCGATGTCCTCCTCGTTCAGCGTAGCCACGCCGGGCAGGCCGTTGTTCGCCATGGCGAACCCCTTGGTCAGCGCCTTCTTGAGCGCCTCGGTCGTAAAGGTCGACTCGCACTGGTAAAGGAAGCTCTGCGCGACGACGGCCGCGCCATCCTCGTCCCTATTTGCAGAATTCTTTTCTGGACTTTCGCGTTTTTCTTTTTTTGCCCTGGCGGTCGTCTGTACGTGCCTGACGAGTCGCCACGCGTTGTGGCCGCGCCCCACCTCGTCGCCGCCCCTCCACAGCGGCGTCGACTCGATGTTCTTGATCGTGCACACCGTGAACTCTAGTTCCGGCGGCTGGGCGAGGGCCCCCCCCCCCACGTCGACCTGTGGCGGCGTGAACTTAACGGTGCAGCCGCCCCACCCCGTCTTGATGGCTTCGGGCAGCGCAGCGTAGGTCGAGGGCGAGAGGTACGCAGCGAAGCCGACAAACGCCTCGAGGCCGGCGCGCTCGATCTCGGTGGTGATGACGGCTGTGATGCCGGTTCCGAGCTCGCAGTGGGTGGCAATGAAGTCGCCGCCGCTGCCTCCCGTCGCGGCCGCGCCGAGCACGTGCTGCGCCGCGATCTCGCGGTTGACCGCGTACTGCTCTAAGTCGGGCCGCCCTGCGAGCGACTGGTGCTTGGATCCTGCGTTCGCCGTAAAAAAGAAAACGCGGTTCTCGTGTGTGATGCCCTCCTTGACTAGCGACGCGATCTCAGAGTCCTTGTAGATGTCTTCGTAGAAGGCCCGGTAATCTTCTTGGCTCGTCGGCTGCATCTCCTGCCGGCAGGGATGCCTTGGGTCGTCAGTCGTGTCGCTACTATCTCCACTGCGCATAATATTAAATAAATTCCACGCTATATGGGGCGGTGAGTCTCCGTCGCTGCGGAGTTCGACCTCCGTCGTGTCGCGTGCTTTCGCTTCCCCGTTACGCGTCGGCTGGTCCCTGGTTCGAGGCCCCGGGGGGGAGGGGGGGGCCTCCTGGGCCTTCTGCGCCTTCTGCGCCCTCTCGCCCTCTCGCCTTCTTGCCGCGCGAGCCGCGGGCGGCGCCCGTGTTTTTGCTCGCCGGGCGGCCCCCACGCCGCCCCGTCTCGCGCTTCCTCGCGTGCTCGGGCCTCGGCGGGCAGCACCTCGGCTGGTGCTCCCCTGGTCGCTGAATGTGTTGCTGTTTGGCGCTCATTGTGTGGCTGCTCGGTTCGTTGCTCCCGGGGACCAGAGACCGGTGGTGACCCACCGGTTCGGTACGACCCGCAGCCTACTCCTACTACCGCGCGCGCGCGCGCGCAGGCCGCCGTGGGCACGGGTGGGGCGAGCGCGCGCACCATGATCTCGAGACGTGCCCGCCGTAGTCGAGACAGCGACTCAAGGGAGGGAGAGAGGAGCCAGCTCGATTTCTCGAAACCGCCGCCCGCCGAGGCGACACCGGCCATGCGTCCCTCCTGTGCGACCAGACCCGGTCTAGTGCCACAGAGGCGCGATGGCGCCTCCGCTGCCACAGGTGGCCGTCTGTGCCGTCATCCTAGTGCTGGTGCTGCTGCAGGGCGCTCTCTACGCCCGGCGGAGCACGTGGGTGATCACCCAGCCGCTCGCCAGCAGTGGCGGCGTGGTGTCTGTGCCTGAGAGCGTCGCCGGTGCCGTGCCGCCGCCCGGAGCCGCGTTTCCGTCCGCGGAGCAGGTGCTGCGACGGGCGGGGATGCGGCGGGTGGACCCGCCGACGGCGAATGCGTCGGCGAGTCAGGCGCCACCGTCCGGCAAGGACTGCGGCGAGGCCTCGGGCGAGTTTCCGCGGCACCGCATCCTCATCGTGCACGAGCAGCACCTGCAGTCGATGGGCTGCGACGTGCGGCTGCTCCGCTTCGTCAAGGACCTCGTCTACCTCAACCAGGAGGTGTCGATGCTCTTTCGCGGTTCGACGCCCGCAAAGCTGCGGCAGCCAAAGTCGAAGCAGCTCGCGTCCATCCTGCACATCGACGGGTTCGAGGAGGACCAGCTGCGCAAGGGGCTGCGCGACCCGCCCGGGCTGTACGAGTGGACCAACGCGACGCGCTTCGCGCAGCTCGTCTCCAAGGGACACTTCAACATCGTCATCATCTTTCTGTGGTTCTGGTACGACCCGCAGCCATCGGTGGCGGAGCTTGTGCTGCCCGTGCTGCGCGCGTACGCGCCGGCCGACAAGCAGCCCTTCGTCGCGGTCCTGTCGGACGACGCGCACGCGATCCGCTCCTCGCGGCTCGGCGAGGTGAAGATCTCTCTCCGCTCCTCTCCTCTCCTCTCCTCTCCTCTCCTCTCCTCTCCTCTCCTCTCCTCTCCTCTCCTCTCCTCTCCTCTTCACCTCTCATCTTATCTCCTCCCACCGCTACTACACACTGCATCCCCTTACATTGCTCCATACTCAACCTGATCAATAAGACATATATCTACAACCACTTACCTATCACCTTCTTGTTGACCTAACCAAGCACCTGCCCGACCAACACTTTGAACTCCATGGTTAAATGCATCCAAAAGCCCAAACATGATCTTTATCCCCACTTCGTATATCGACGCCGCTACAAGGAACTCTCTCCCCATTTTTCGGAT